CAAAGCAATATACCTTTAACAATTTTAAAAGCAATTCCATATTACTCAATACTTACAATATTTTGCAGTACTTTCGTGATGTACGATGAGGATGACGACGGGTTAGGCGCCGGGTAGTTGGTAGGGGGGTTGCCAGTAGTAGTAGTAGTAGTAGTTAGTGGCAGTAGCAGTAGCAGTAGTAGTAGTAGTAGTAGTAGTAATAATAGTAGCAGTAGTAGTAGTAGTAGTAGTAGTAGTAGTAGTAGTAGTAGTGGTAGTGTACATACAGCTAGCTATTGAGGTATAGCAGAGTGCCGACATTGTCCATAGCAAACGCTGTAAGTTGGTCTTCCAGATTGTAGGAACCGTTTAGTTCGTGCCACCTTCAGGGGATGGAAGAAGACACGGTTGCAACCGTGCAAGCCACGGCCATGTGAAGCTACAGCACCGCCGTTCGGCATCAGCATATTGGCCTCCGGAGGAAGTCAAAAGCTGCTGAAGATGGAAAGAGGTGCAAACACCGTCACCTGCCCAATCCCAGAGGTCCGAAGGCTGCCAAATCCTTGAACTTCAGAAACGGCAGAAGGATCTGGAGCGGGTGAAACCAAGAAGAGCCGAAGCAGCAAGCGCAACCCTCGCCGTGAGCTTTGATCTCTGCAATGCGATGGGGAAAAGCCAAAAACCACAGAAACGAGCCGTCCGTTCGCATGTTGAAAGAACAACAGACACCAGTTAATTAAGCAAGAAAAGAGGGAGTGTGACAAACGAGTGCGGTGTTGGCCCCCAGAGCCTTCGATGGCTTAGGATTGCTATATCCCCCGATCAAGGCTAAATGCCCAATATGCAACATTCATGCATGCCCCAGCACCGCGTTCGGTTTGATGTACGCTATTGACAAAAGCCCGAAGAGCTGTTATGCACTCTGGATGACCATTAGCTTTTCATACCCAGTTGTTGGTTCGAGATTTGCCGTGGGTGCATGTAGCGACTGTAGTGCTTACTGTTCAGATTTTGATGACAACCCGTCGCGGCAGCCGTGTGTGGCTATCTCGAGACCGTCGTTGGTCCGAAGCCTGTTTGAGCTGTTCTCGTCGCTTACATCGTCGTTAGACCTCTTTAACTGTGTCATGACGCCGGCGATGTCGTCGAAGAGCCAATGGGATGATGACACTTTGGTAACGAGAGTGACGCTTAAGCAGTGTGTAGCCATGAACCATCGTCGTAGTGGTTCCGGCATGCATCGGCCTGCTAGGACGCGTGATGTCGACGATGCCCGGATGCTGACACCCGAGGGTATTGGATGCAATCAATTCTGGCCTGGTGACATTGCGCACCGATTTTGGAGGAGAGGGTCCCCAGTATCTTCACCGGTACGGTGACGTTGTCACGCACGGCAAGCAAGACAGAGCAAAAATGGCAGCAGTGAAAAGTACGGGAAAAATCGCGCTGTTCGCAATGGTGCAATCAATGGTTTGCAGCGTAATCGGCGTGCTTCGCGCATGCTATTCGGCATTGGGCACAATTGTGCACACACAGAGCGGCTGCTTGGGTTTACGGTTTTGCCAGCCAAGGCAGCAGAGTTCTGAAACACGACCACTCAAGCCACTCGGGGCTTCAAGGGCAGTCAAGCGGTACTTGAGCGAGCTGCTTTGAGCCAGCGCAGCGGGACTATGCGGGACTCTAGCAGGGCCTAAAACTAAGGGGTAGCTAGGGGAGACGCTCTTACGTAAAAGTTCTCAGTGGCCGTGGTCTGCTCCACTTCAGCGCTTGTGCGGCAACTTGTGCGTGTCATGAGCGCCTTGACAAGTACACAGGCGTTTTTACAAGCGTGCTTTCACCGGATCTTCAATGCTTGAGCAATCTTGGAGCCTCGAGCTGCAGGCAGGCTCCTTGAAGTCTCGCCAGTGCAAGGACCTGTGGCATGTTGTGGATGCGCGAGCAATTGCTCGCTACCTTTGTCCGGATAGGAGAATCGACCGCCTTCACCACGTGAGAGAACGAAGCCAACTACCCAACTGCACAAGGAGGTCCGCTGCTTACGGCATTCTTGATTTCAGATCACACGATACGCAGAAGGAGGAAGACACAGTGCCTGCACAGATGCCACAGGCATCTGGACACTGAAGTGAGAAACAGCGCTACCGAGAACCTCGTGGCCACGAACTAGAGAAGAAAGAACTAGTCTGCAGGGGGTTTGTCGCCTCAAGCTTGGTCAGCGAAGAGTATAAATGCGGACTCAAGGGGCAAGCACGAAAAGACAGAACAAGGCACGACCATGTAGACCGTGACGTCGGAATACATGAAACGGAGGGCCTGTGTCTAGTTGAGCAACCGTGGTGTGCATACATGCGTACATGCGTATAGGCATACATACCTGCATACATACATACATACATACATACATACATACATGCATAGACATAATCTAAATACATACAGGCATGCATACACATGTGCGCCTAGACAGACAGACAAACAGACGGACAGACAGACATCCAGTCATTCATTCGTTCATTCGTTCATTCATTCATTCCTTCATTCCTTCATTCCATTCATTCCATTCATTCCATTCATGCCATTCGTTCCATTCGTTCCATTCATTTCATTCATTATTCCACTCATTAATTCCATTCAGCATTCAATTCATTCATTCGCAAGGTGGCGCATGCATGCATACACACATACATGCATACATCGTTTTCATGCGTCGTCGCATGTGAGCAACCACTAACATGCAATAAGATACGCTTGCAATTTGCTGTCGTTTCTTTCAGAGCGATATGCTTCGCCGGGATGCTGTTTACCTCCACCATACTTGCACAGATGACCATGTACGGACAGCAGGCATACTCGTTTTGCCCCATATGAAGCTTTGCTCACTACAGCGTCCGTGCTGGAGAACTGGCTTTTGAAGCTTCACGGCCCCTGCCACGCAAGCATCTCACCTTCGACCTCGGACTTTGCAGACCAAACTTCCCTGTATCGTATTTCTGTAGTGCTGTGCGAGTCTGTAACCAAGTACGATGCCACACTTCAGCACTCCAACTCGAAGTGCTTGTATGAGATGCAACATATGATAGTACCAACAGTACATGGTTGCACGCAAGCTGTTTGTTGCTTGACACGCCTTCGGTACCTGCTCAATCTCAACAGTCTGGTTGTTGCTGATGAGCATCTATGTTGAGTAGCATGTCAGGGAAGTGTCGACCGTACATACGCAGAGGAAGTATGGGTCGGAAGACATGTAGCCAAACCTTTCTGTTGACACGGACATGATTGTGACGACCTCGAAGTGCTCCGAGCATGGAGCCGATAATGTCTCGTTTTCTGTATGCAGACGGACATGTATCTATACAAGCATGGGAGAGTACATGTATATATATATATATACATATATATATATATATATTTTTTTTTTAGAATACTTCTCTATGTCTCTATATACATACATTGATATGCACTTCCTTCCCACGCCGCAAAAGAGGTCTCGCGAGGCCCGGCGACTCATGTCGGCAGCTCGTGGCTGCACACCCGTTGTCAGGTGCCCCTCGCTACCAGTCATGGACGCCACGACCCTTGCATATACATACGCACATACATACACAGATATACATAATACACAAGGAGATATCCGTCCATCCATCCATCTGTTATTTATTTATCCATCCATTTATCTGTCTGTCGATCTCTCCATCAATCTATCTGCCTATCTGTCTATCTATCTATCAGTCTATCGATCTATCAATCAATCAATCAGTCTATCTATCTATCTTTCTTTCTATGGTGCAGCGTTGCCAAGTGGCCCCCCTCCCTCTGTCGGTGGGTGTGCTCGATGCCCTTGCCGTCCTTGCCCATGTCTGGGCATCGTGGTTCTGGCTTCATCCGCGGTCAAGCATCCCTTTCTCGCGTCGCTGTTATTGGATGTAGGCAGGTTTGTGCCTCGTTCGGATTGCGCCTCTCGACATGTTCAACAGTTGCTAGATCACTAGACCACCCATCCCTACGGATGGTGACACAGTTGAGACCTCGCCGTCACGATAGCAACATCAAGATCATGATTGAACCCCACGCGATCCATTCTTGAGATGTCACCGTAGTACCGATATCCCAGGCCCACAGCAGTTTCAGCGATTTCTGGCCACTGAAACAGATTCCTCCAGACGGTGTGGGCGGTGTGACGGGGCGCCGGGGGGGGGGCGGGGGCACTGATGCGCCGATGCGGCACCATATGTCTTACTATTGGATGGATGGACGGCAAACAGTGCGTCGCATGTGTATCAGAGGTTCCCCAGATACCGAGTGGCCCAGACCTGCCCACACCAAGCCGCCAAGCCGTGCTGGCCCATTCCCAAACCCTCTCTCTACGAGGCTGCCGACATCACAGCGCAGCTCATTGCTGCTCGAAAGAAGGCTGTGTGATGCTGCGTGAGTAGTCGTCACGGAAATGCTAAAAAGATGAGCGTGGCATGCAGCGCTTTGGGATTCGGCTTGTTTCTCCTCACTGCTTGTCGGGTTGTTCGGCTGCAGGTCGAGAACCACGAGAGTGAGCTCCAGGAATCTGTGCTCGCACGACAGAAACTGCAGGCAGCTTGCTCCAGACGTCCGCGCAAGTGGGACTTAATTTAAACGCTTCGTGTCGTCCGCCTTGGCCCGCCTGTACTTGAAGCAGGCGCATTGTTTCGGAAAGCAACGGGCAGGTCACACAGGTGAGGTCTTGAGTGAATGAGGGCATTTGCTTCAGAATGCTTTTAAATTATAGTGTTTGTTCTCATGCCGAGGCTCTGAGCAGCCGATCGGCTGTTCGGCTGATGCGCAGTTTGGAAACCCATTTCGCGAGTACAGTACAATAATGTATTCAGCATGTACCCGGCGGCATTCCTCAAGTGTGGGGGTTTCATCTACTGTTTCATAGAGCAACAGTTTGTTGAGCAGCACAAGTCCTCAAACAACCGTCCAGCGGTCAGTAGCTAAGAACTAAGAATGTGAAACTCAGAGCCGAGGCAAGGCTAGAATGTACACATATGCACAACGTCGTCATGTGCTACTGCGCGCCTCCAAGCCCTCAAGCAACGATCTTTGAGCTTGGCAAATGCTGGCCACAAAGGACATATGCGCGCAGATGGAGGCGGGGGTGTTTTGCATACCACTAGGGGCGAACAACAGGCCCAGAAGCATGTCATCAGAAAACGACACGATGTCAATGAAGCCGGGGGTCCGCAAGCGGTTCGACCATTCATTCCTCCAGTGGAGAAACATGCAGTCTGTGTATTAGGCTCCATTCACAGGAGAAATGTTTGGAACAACATATATTTCTCTGCCGCCTGAGGCAAAGTTCTGCTGCTGCCCGTGGCAAGGATGCACTCTCAAGTGCTATGCCTAAGGCTGCCCCTGCAGTTCCAAACTACTGTCATTGCCAAATGCTCCTCAGGGCAAGGCTCCACTGCTAGTCAAAGAGCCACCTGCCAGAGAACCGCTGCTCCCCCTGGAGCTAAGGAAAAGGCCAGGTCAACTTCGCAACGAACACGAAGACACGGAGAGGTGGCCAAAACGTGCGCGATGCACATGCAAGAGCAAAATCTCAAGCAGTCCTCGATTCGGGAGAAAATCTCCGGCTGACTACAAAAATAGTTGAGATGAATCAAGATCATCTTCAGATCGAAAAACGGCGAATCAACCAACTGAAACAACAACGAGAGTCTACCTTGCTCGCTCTCCAGTCCCTGGGACTTCTAGTGCCACCAGAGAAATCGAGTTGGGAGAACACGATGAGCAAGCACTGTGGGCAGAAGAGTTTCCGCCTGCCATCAACCGTGTTCGTGAGTCCCTCTACCGGGGCATGAACCCGAGACGACATGACAGCACTCACACCACTTCAGGACTCCAAGGAAATGCTCAATCGTTTCAACAGCAGGTGAAATCGAATCAAGTCGTCATTCAAGATGAGGTGCACTCGCATAGAAATACTTTCGCCAGAGTAAATCATCTGATCCAACACATCCGTGCTGCACACAACACTATCAATGCCCAAGTCGTTCTGAACACACACCTGCAAAATCGTCCTTTCGCAAGACATGCTTCAGCAAATGCTCGACGACGTCTCGAGTGATCCCGACGATCCACCTTCTGGTGGTGATCCTCAGACAGATCCCAACTGCCAAGCTTGTTGGGATGCTCGCCATCTACATGCTACAAAATGGAGCAGCGACAACACCGAGACGTTTTGGCCATCGGACGATCCCAGGCCAGAAGACAGGCCCTGGAACCCTGCACCCAGAGTAGTTCAGAGAAACAACACTGGCTCGGATGTGTCATATTCGTCGCATAACGCACGACACAGGGCTAAGGCTGACAGCTCACAAGCTGTAGAAGCAGAGGCCAGGCCAGAAGCAAAACCTCAGGCTGAGCCCAAAGCCAGTGGCACTGCAACTAAAGAAGCACCAGTAGTTGATCCCGCCTTCACTAAAGCGGAAAATTTATTCCTTGGAATCTTCGACACAAGTGAAGAAGAAGACTATGGCGCTGACCCAGATCCCGACGAGCCACATCCGCAGTACATCACGGATACAGATAGATATAGACGCGAAGCCCAGAAAGTTCCCACCGGAATCGGAACAAGTCTTACGTGAAAAGGTGTCACGTTCTCACTAGACTAGAGGACACTATGCACTCATTAATTCTTGAGCGCCACGCACCTGATAAGGTACAGAAGGATCTCTCCAACTGTACTGCCTCACAAAGTGGAGCCAAGGAGAAGAGAGTGCGTCGATCGCAGCTTTTGCACGTGCTAATGTATTTTTACGACAGTCTGATAGAGCCTAGGTTACTCCGAATCATACTCGATGAGAAGGGACTATTAAAGGCATCTACGTGTAGGTCTGTTTCAAGCCTTACTTCTGCCCGCCAAAACATAGATAAAACGCAAGCCCACTCTTTGCTAGCAGAATCTCTGGACGTGGGGCTTGCCAACCCGAAATCCAATTTAAAAGCGCGGGTCAGTCCTGCAGGCTAAGCAGGGACTGGGATCAACCGGTGGGAAACAGGGAGTCCTTGTGGGAACCTCTGACCGCTTCGGCCGGGGCCGAGGCGAATTTTAGTTTCGTGTTTGCTGGAGCCGAAGAATGGGCAGCATCAGCCAGGGA